TCATTCAGCATAAAAGAGTAATACATGCAATAAGTGAAAAGTGTTAAGACAAGGACGAAGCTGACGATAAGGAAAGGAGATAACCCATCGGTTGTGATCTCTAACAGAGTAACTCAAGCTACTTCAAGAACATTGACATCCTCTATACTACCTGTATGGGTTTCATCAAGGAACGATCCAGACAGAGAGGTTTCAGTTTATGCACTCCTTGATTCACAGAGTGATACATCCTTCATCTTGAATGAAGTAGCCCAAGATCTTGACACAAATAAAAGTAAAGTCAATCTGTGCCTGTCAACTATGTCCACCAAGTCAACAGTTATACCATGTGACAAGCTGGTAAACCTTCAAGTTAGAGGATATAAGGATGTTAAGAGAATGTTGTTGCCACCAGTTTATACAAGAGAGTTTATCCCTGCTAACAGATCACATATCCCAACGTCTGAAACCGCCTTAAAGTGGCCTCATCTGGAAAAGCTGGCAAATAAGATACCTCCACTGCTTGGATGCGAAGTTGGTCTACTTATCGGCTACAACTGTCCACAAGCCCTCCTACCACATGAAGTTCTTGCAGGCCAGGAGAACCAACCTTACGCACAGTTAACTGATCTCGGCTGGAGCATAGTTGGTTGCTCGTCTCAAGTTCAAAATCACAATGATGTCATCGGTACAAGTCACAGAATCGTTGTTCGTGAAGTATTTCCTGTTTCAAAACCAGCAGTTGAACTCAAGCAACAAGTGCATTTTGTATGCAGAACTCAAGTAAAGGAAGCCAGTCCAACTGATGTGATAAAGGCTTTGGAATCCGATTTCTCTGAACATGCAATAGATGACAATCCAGTTTCACAGGAAGACATTTTGTTCTTGTCAAAGGTGACCAAAGGCATAAAACAGAAGAAAGATGGTCATTACGAACTCCCGTTACCATTCAAAACAGACAATTCAAATCTCCCAAATAACAAGCAAAGTGCTGAACTCAGATTGTCTGCATTGGAACGTCGACTCAAAAGGGATGAGAAATACTATAAAGAATATGTCAAGTTCATGAATGATATTATATCTCACGGAGATGCAGAGAAGGTGCCAAAACAAGAGCTGGACAACAAGACAGCATGGTACATCCCGCATCACGGGGTTTACCATCCCCACAAACCAGAAAAAATACATGTAGTTTTTGATTGTTCCGCACGCTTCCATGGAACATCTCTCAACGATCATCTTTTGACTGGACCTGATCTCACCAACACATTGGTCGGAGTGTTATGCCGATTTAGAAAGGGCCCCGTCGCCATTATGTGTGATGTGGAAAGAATGTTCCACCAATTCCACGTCATTAAGGAACATCAACATTACTTAAGATTTCTTTGGTGGGACGAGGGTGATATGAACTCCGAACTCTCAGTTTACAGGATGAAAGTACACCTTTTCGGAGCAGCCTCATCTCCTGGATGTTGTAATTTTGGACTCAAGCACATTGCATCGCAATGTAGAAACAAGTTCAGCAAAGAGACCGTTGACTTCATCCAAAGGGGGTTTTATGTCGTTGATGGACTTGCTGGTGTGACATCAACAGCCAAAGCTATACAGCTGGAACTTTGCAAAACAGGCAACTTACATCTGCATAAGTTTGTGTCAAACAATAAAGAAGTGCTTACAACAATTCCTCAAGAAGAACAAGCTCAACCCAAATATCAAAACATGGCTTTTGGAGAACTCCAGATTGAACGTGCACTCAAAATACAATGGTGCGTAGAAGCTGACGAATTCCAGTTCAGAGTTCAAGTTAAGGACAACCCATTGACCAGAAGAGGGGTACTCTCGACTGTCGCTTCCATCTATGACCCACGTGGGTTCGTCGCTCCTTTCACAGTGATTGGAAAGCAAATACTCCAAACATTATGCAAAGACAAGGTTAGCTGGGATGATGATCTTCCAAATCACATTCTACCACAATGGGAAGTATGGTTGAGAGACCTGCCTAAGCTGGGAGCTCTGAAGATCCCACGAAGCTACTCACAAGATGTCAACATCACACAGTATAAATTGCATAACTTCTCGGATGTGAGCCTCAATGATTACGGCACATGTTCATACCTTTAATATTTTAATTTAGAGTTGATGAGGAAGAATTTAACTGTTAAAGACCTCCGAAGTGTCACAAGGTAACTTCTGTTAAAGCCAGTCTCACCTGATTGTCTGTAAATGTATCGATATCTAAAACTTTGTCTTCTATTTCTGTAGTTTTCATGGCGTTTAATAAAGAGGCCGTCTAAAGGAGGCCGTGCCAGTGTCGTCACTTTGGAGTTACAACCAGAGAGGAGACCAGTGGCTGCTGGTGGAGAGGAACTGGGATTATGGGGGATACTGGTTGAGAAGGTTGGTCTGATACAGGAACCACTGCAGGAGGCTGAACACCACAGAGGAGGAGGAGGAGGATGATTATGAAGCTTTCGGGGGAACGGAGGAATCAGTTTCAGGTCCATCTGGAGGAGGAACATAACTAAACCTGGAGGTTCTCCTGTAGGAACATCTGCAGAGGTTCGATTAT